CTTTCCCAGATGTTTCCATCCCTTTATCCCTTGTGCATTTTCCCCTGCAGAGCATGTCATGGGGTCCCAAGAAGAAGGATATGTTAGCCGGTGAAATGCCAATATCTAAACACCCGTGAAGTTGGTGAGAATCCAGGCATGTGTCTGTGGGTAGGACCGGGTCCCACCGTGCGCGAGGTGTGGCCGCCTCCCATGGACTTCAAAGGCCAGGGAGGAAAGGGGCTGCAGACCTGCAAACAGGTGACTCAGTCCATTGTTCCTCGTATCTGAAAAATCAATTGGGTCCAAAGTAAAAATATTTATTTAATGAGCAAAAATGTGTGGCTAATTGGTTTTTAAAAGAATATTACTTCCTGCTCCTTAAGACTGAAAGGGGCCTTTGAAAAAAATATTTACAGGGATCGAGTTCTGAAAATGGTTGCTGGAGGTTAAATAAGTACAGAAAATGACATATAACCCACAGGAGACAACTCAGTCTTTTCTGTGGGGTACTGAGGAAAGTGGACCCCCTTGGAACAATACCATGCCAGCGGAGCGTACACCGCAAGAAAGTGCACACTGGAGGGCCAGACTGCTGCAGGCTGGTGGCAAGGTGACACCCCGCCCCCCATCTCAGGGGTCCCAGGAGTCCCTCCGTACCCTACAGGCTTGCGTCTTATGGAATGTGTCTTCATTAGTAAAGAGCTGATGTTTGATAGCAGAATTGGGTGTGGCTCATGTCAAGTTTTGTGGCTCCTTAAGCCCAAATCACTCCCCTGTAAAATGGACACGAGAGAATGGCATCCTTGTGACAACACCTGGAATGCACCTGCCATGGCTCAGCAAGGCTGAATCTGCTCCTGGCAGGGCCCGCTGCTCAGCCATGCAGATGAGGTTCTTCTCTTAGGACACCTGCGGCCCATCCCACTGTCAGTCCTGCTGCCCGGTGTCCTGGGACACGCCTCCAATGAGAGCTTCAATGTAAAGCGAAGACACAGCCCTGGACTCCCTCAGGCCTCAGCGGCCACTCCACAGCCTGCCCCATGAGCTGACGGAGCTCACGCGATGCCTTGCTGTTCTAGACAAGGCAGAGGAAGCAGGACTCAAGCTCTGTGTTACGATTACTCGTTGTGGGTCAAGGTGTTGTCATGCTCCCAGCCCATTCTGAGAGTCTTTACATTACAGCGGCACAGAAAGGGCCCGGCACCCAGCTCATTCACACTTCGGAGAGAAGTTATTCGGCAAAATGCACATTGACTATTCACAAATATTGATGTTGATTTTTACTGTTAGAAATGTAGTGAGGGAAAGGGCTCTTTTGTTCAACATTTATGAATGAATGACCACAAGAGGAAGTATACCACTGCAGAGCTGTCCTTGATCATATGCTTCCCATGAAAAAGCTGATGGGGGAATGGGAAGGTGGGTAGGGCCTGCTCCCTGGGCCCTAGAGACTAGAGACTTGGAAGCAGCACGGTCCACAGGCACATCAATGAGAAGTCTTTCAGGTACATCTGCTCAGTATCCACTTCGTCCAGGGTGGGGTGAGCCAACAGAGCAACCCGGCTCAACAGTGCCTCACGGGTGACAAGGGCAGTTCCCGCCATCTGGTTGGTAAAGACCCACAGAGTTGGAGCCCTGGCTGTGTGCTGGCTCTGGAGGTCTGTGTGCAAGTGTGCATTGGGTATCTAGCTGAGAGCCTGCCTGAGAGTGTGTAGTGGTGTGAGTGAGTGCACGAATATGCATGTGTGTGAGCTGTCAGTGGACACGGGAGATGTGGGTGTGTGGGTTCATCTTCAGGCTCATGGGAGCTCCTGTATGACGTTGATTTTCAGTCAAGTTGAGCCCAGTTGGCCACTGTTTCCCTGTTGGTGAAACAGTGCTGGCTTTTGTCACCATGCAGAGATGACAACTCATAGCAGCTCACACACATTTCAGGAGCACATAGGTTCCCCTCAGCCGCTCTGGCTCTGAAGACCTGGGATAAGCGCCTGAGTCTCGGGGAAGGTGGGAAACCGCCCCATGTTACACCCCGGCTCGCTCAGAGCTTCTCAAGAGGAACTTCTAAACAACACCCGACTAGATTTGTCACCATAAAAAAAGTGGAAACAGATTAAATAAATTTGGGTTTAGTTCGTGATCTAATAGGACCATTAAAAATGATGTTTAATAAGTGATGCTGAAGAATATTTAGTAACTGTTCATAAAAAGCACCAAAAAAAAGCATCTATGAGAATGCTCAGCATAATCTCACCACTGCTGAATACACACAGGCTGGGAAGGCATCCATGAAGGACACACGTGAAAGTGTTAACACTGGTCATCTCTGTGTGGTGAAATGTTTAATCTTCGTTTTCTCCTGAAATTTTTTGTCTTTTCTACAACGAATATGCAACACTTCAGTAACAGAAAACATGATTCTCGAAGTTGTTCTTGGCACTTCCAATACATGAGAAAGGCTGAGTGGTGCTGTCCCACAGGACATGTGCAGAGGTCTGTTCGCCACAACTCAGCCCGGAAGACGGGGCCACCTGACCTGAAGTGACCGGGCAGGAGGAAGCAGCCGGTGTTTGAAGTGTGGGCTGTGCCTGACAAGCTACTTGTCTTGGGTTGGGGCCGACAGAAGCCTTTTGTCTGCCTTTGTTTGCTTCTGAAAAGCAAAGACATTTGTTCACTTTCCTGGCTGCACCAAGTTCCACTCAGCCGAAACCTGGTGTGGTGAGCGCGCCCGGCCTGGGATGTGCTGGAATCCCTCCAGTCCTGCAGGAAGGGGGCTGCGGGGCAGTATCGGGACATACTGTGTTACAGGACAATCTTGACTCAGTGTTACCGAGTGTTTGCCAGTCGCAATAAATCATTCGCACAGGTGCCCAAGGAGCCTGTGTGCCAGGTTTGAAGTTCTGCTCTGTCTAGGACGGGGCACCCTGCATAACCCACCCTGCACCCCACCACCTGGGCTGTGACATGCCAGGGGATGTTACCAACAAGCTGTTTAAAACTGGGGTGAGGGGTAGCGGGGGCGCCCCCATATACCAGGAGTGGGGTAGGAAGGGGCACTCAGGGCGCAGGTTGGGTGGGGCAGATTCAGACCCGGAATGGGGTCGTCCCTAAATCCTGCAGATCTCAAAAGTTCTTCGTGACGCCCCATAAGGACCCAGAGGGACAGACACGCATGAGCTTTCCGGGCAGCAGGTGACGGGCTAGATCCGACCCCAGAGATCGCCGGGAAGTTGAGGACAGAGACGGAAGAGGACTGGCCGCCACCGAGTGGCTACGGAGGGAGAGACCTTCGACTCCAGATGCTGGGGTTCCGCCCAGGACGCCGGTGCGGCTGGGAGCCCGCAGAGTCCTGGTGGGCGGGTCTCCAGGTAGAGCGGGTCCCTACAATAAGCGGTCTTTAGGGAGGACACCGCGCCCAGCAAGCGGCAGCACTCCAGGGGCATCGTGGGCAGAGCTGGCCGGGGTCGCGCCCCGCGCCCTCAGAGGGGCTCCAACTCCACCC